AATGCCTCCTTCTGAGGCTGAGAGAGTGTGACTTGCCTAAAGCCACCCAGTAGGTTTACAAGGCCAAGCTGGGATTTGAACCCTGGTCTCCATAATCATAGTCCGATGCTCAAACCACTAAACCAGGGGTAGGCAACCTTTTTGAGCCGGGGGCCGGGTTGCTGTCCCTCAGACAATTGGGGGGGCTGAAGCACAATAAATAAATAAATAAATAAATATTTAAAATTAAAAAAGTTTTAAAAAATTAAAAATTAAAAAAAATATATGCATGCACACTCTCTCAGCCCCAGAAAAGCCTTGGCAAAACCCCTGTGGAAATTTTGCCAAGAAAACCGCAAGAACAAGTAGTAACAACAATAATCAATATCATCATGGTGGGCAGCGGCGGCGACGGCGGCAGGACCGGCTTGGGCCAGTCCAAAGGCCTCGGCGGGCCACATCCGGCCCCCGGGCCTTAGGTTGCCTACCCCTGCACTAAACCATGCTGGCTCTGATACATTCAATAGATAAATCAGTAAAATTTTGTTGACCCACAGCCTCCCCTTTACCTTCCAGGTGTTCCACCAGAGTTGGGATCTTCTTGCTCCAGAGGGGCTTCAGGGCCTTGTGGATGCTGAGGTTGAGGATGTTCAGGAGGCGGAGGGAGGCCACCCCTCGGCCGTCCCCCAGGTAAGGCTGGGAAGCCGCCACCTGCGTTGGAAGGAGAAGGTGGGATGGATGAGGAAGGAGAGCAAGGAGATGACCACGCTGGCCCACTCCCCTCTCCCTTAGAAGCCCCCAAAGCCCCTCCATGCTGGGCCTTTTCATGGGATGCCATGGAAGAAGCTTCCAAAGCAGAAGGATGGGGCTGGGTAGTTGCGATGGCAAGGGGCAAAACCCCCTCATTTTCCCAAAGGTCTAAGTGGCCTAACAGCAAAGAAGCTGACCTATGCAGGTGATACCTCTGACTGGGGTTGGCAGAGGGTGGACATGGGACCCCATCTTTGCAGCCCCTGAGGTTCCACATTGGTTCCTCAAACCTCACAAATGAAAAAGAATTGTCACAAATTTTCAGGCAATTTTTGCCTGAGACCATCCCCCCCCCAAAAAAATCCCCAAACATGTGAACACAAATAAAAGCACCCCAATCCACCTAAACACACACCTTGAACCCCCTCTCCTCCCAATACTTCCATTCTCCCCTTTAGTCCCTTTCAATATGGTGACAGGAATGGACACAACATCACTTCTGGTCACCAATTTGAGAGAGGCAACAGAGGAAAATGAGGATATTTGGGCTTGCTGTGATAGGCAGCAGAGTAAGGCTCTACATACTTTTCCATCTTTATAACTGTATTGTTTTTTAATCTGTATATCGCTTTGTATTCCAATTTTGGGGGGGAAATAGGATATAAATGAATATAATAATAATGATAATAGTTGGGTGAAGGAACATTGGCCTGTGCCCCCCACACCACTGCCCACCCCAACCATTGCCCAAAGGCACCACTATTATGTGTTACAATAGTGCCAGGCAAAGAGCACAATGGATGTCTGCTAGAGGAAAATGTGTGAAGCATGAAAACCTGGAGCAATGGGTTCAAACTACAGGAAAAGAAGTTCCACTTAAAGATTAAGAACTTCCTTGAGGGTAAGAACTGTTCTACAAGGGAAGATGCTGCTGTCTCGGAGAGCAGTCGAGTATCCTCCTTTGGAGGCTGTTTTTAAACAGAGGCTGGATGGCCATCTGTCAGGATCGCTTTATGTATTCTTGCAGGGAACTGGACTGGATGGCCCTTGAGGTCTCTTCCAACTCTGTTGTTGTTATCTGAGTTGATTTTGACTCATGGCAACCCTGTGGATGGGACATCTCCAAGTACCCCTATCTTCCACTTCTCAGCTTATTTCCTGCAAGCCGACGCCTGTAACCCCCTTGATAGAGTCCATCCATCTGGCATGCGGTCTTCCTCTCCTTCTTCTACCCTCTACCTTTCCTAGCATTATTGTCTTTTCCAGTGATCCATGCCTTCTCATGATGTGACCAAAGTATGCCAGCCTCAATTTGATCATCTTGGCTTCTAAAGAGACCTCTGTCTCTTTATCTGTTCCAAGACCCATTTGTTTCTCTTTTTGGCTGCCCACAGTATCCTAAGCACTCTTCTCCAGCACCGTATCTCAAATGAGATGATTTTCCTTCTGTCTTTTACTGTCCAGCTCTCACATCCATACATGGTGATGGGGAATACCACGGCTTGGATGATTCTAACTTTTGCACTCAGTTGTATATCTTTATTCTTCAGGAACTTTTCTAGTTCTTTCATAGCTGCCTTTCCTAGTTCTAATCTTCTTCTTATTTCTTGACTGCAGTCACTATTCCAGTCAATATTTGTTCCTAAGTACGGGAATTCTTTAATAATTGTTTTTGATTTCCTCATTGTCTAGATTGAATTTATGTATCTCTTCCAACTCTGGGATTCTAGGATTTTATGAAAAGTGTGCGCACACACACACACTTGGGAAACCAGAGCCCAAATGGATTCTGTTCTAAGAGGAAGAAGCAGCACTTACCAGCAGCCTTGCCGTGAGGGCATACGGGGATGGAAGGCTTGCTGTAAAGAAAAGAAAAGTGAATGAGAGCTCAGATTAAAATATTTGCATGAGAGGTGGTGGAGTGGCATTCTCAGAAGGGGAAGAATCTCTGACACAAAACAGCACTGCAAGCTGCAGGATAGAAACTGGCAAAGAATGCATGCAAAGCCAACGCTATCACTGCTACTTTGACTAGCTACAAAAAAGGGGCCATGTGGCAAGTCTGGACAAGAAGGGGCTCAGCAAATGAAGTCAAATTTGAGGAAGACCTAAGCAGATGCAGCCCCACTTTCATAGTCCCAGCCCACCATCCAAAGGGGCCTGCTACTGAGCAGACCTTCTACCTGATGTCCTCCTCCAGTTAACACATCAAAGCTTGTCTGTTTGCTGAAATGAAGGTTTGGACAGGGGACCCAGCACCCCCAAGCAAGCCCAGCCCTCCTGCCATGGCTAGATACAAACCATTGTTGTCATAAGAGAGCTGGAAATCAGCCCCTTCCTCCTCTTGCCTCTGGGCAGCCAGAAAGATGAGGCTCTTGCAGAGTGGGGTCAAGGCATTGGTCAAGTGGATGGGAGTCACAAACGCCAGGAGGTACGGCCAGAGAACCTGAGGGAGAGGCCGAAGAAGAGACGCCAATAAAACTGGGCAAAGGACTGGCTACTCAACAGAGCCAGAGAAAACTACCACTCTCTCCTACCTCTCCCTCTCCACAAGGCAACACAGCTAGATTCCTCCAAAATAGGAACAGGCCAGGAAAGGGGGTTTGTGTCAGTGTGTGGATGATGGGTGTTGCAGTGATGCTCTTTGACATTTACAAAGATACAAAGTGGCTGTGGATCACAGCAGCCAGCTTGTCCTGGAGA